ATTCTAATCTTATCCTTAATCTTGAACAAAACCAATAAATCTAGGAGTCAATTTTTTAGCTCTGATTGACCTCTTAGTTCTAGTTACTGGCATAACTCTCCAAAACATGTGATCACCTACCAAAAACTCTAATAGTTTTATACACTTGTTTGCATAACTTTTCTGTATACTTTAAGCCATTAAATAGTTTCTTCCTTTTCATTTCTATCTTTTGTGTAGTATGTGTAATACTCTAAAATTTTTCCCAAAACAACTAACTCAATCATAATAGAAAAGTGTTTATTATGATAAACAGAAGTCAACTAATTCTTTTTTTTTTTGAAACAATTCTGTAATTTGAAACACTACCATGGAAGGAAATGATAAAACATAGCCTTATAAAATATTTTACCTTTTAAAATAACTACTATGATAGAAAAGATTAAGTTAAATAAATAATTAATATTATGACAAGTAGAATTTAAACTCCTTAAATTGTCATTTCTAAGATTTGGGATCCCAAGCAATTAAAAATAATATAAGTGTGAAAGACTCAAAAGATCCCTTTAAAATTAAGAATATAATAAACCCAATAGAATAGGAAAAATAAAAATAGTTATGCATTTTAAAATCTTAAAATCACCTATCAACTTTGTCAAATAACATAATAATTTTCAATACTGCTAATACACATATACTATCATAGTTAGTTATAGCCACCAAACACAATTTTATATCAATAAATTCAATATAAAAGCATTTAATAATTGATTTATGTTTGCACAATTCAACATCTCAAATAAATTTTAACCTCCCCTATGCCATTAAGTCAAAATCACATTTTTCCAACTTTATACTCCCAACAAGTGCAAACCATAAACCAACAACCAAAATAGATAGCTCAATTAATTTTCAAAACAAGTCAATTACATAGCCCAATAATCATGTCATTTCAAACCATTCAAAATAAACTAGATATTAAAGTTATAGTCATCTAATGTGTACTAAAAGTATAAACAGTTTGAAAGGCTTATTTACATCATGACATTTATATAATTGTCAATAAGCAAAAAGTTCTAACATTGGTAATATAACACATTAAAAATCATAAATTAAAAAACCCAAGAGACAATGAATCTACGCCACTAAGCCTCGAGGACTCTTCTATGTTCTAAAAATTTTTAACCACATCATGAGACTTTTTAGTCCCAGTAATCAATGTCAATTTATGATAATGTATATAAAAAGTTAAATATATGTTTGCTAAGTAGGAAAACAACAATAATATAATTCCAAAAAAAAAAATACAAGAGTTATTGCAATGCATGACAAATAACCATCCTTATCTCTTTTCATTAACCTTGAGTCACAGCCCTCACTCGGTAATAAATTACTCAGCCAAAGGTTGATTAGCTCGATCCCTTACAAGCCACCTATTGAGCCTCTAATAGGAGTATACCACGTGGTATAAAAATATAACAATAAATCTCCCAACATCTCCCTTACATATCAACATTGGACAAATATACAATATTACAATTTTCTCATTTTCAACAATATTACAATATAACATTCCATGTGGCAAAACATTTCAAAATATATAATTTCAATTCCATAATTTTTCAATAAAATATCCACATAATTTGTTGACAAACATCTCAATATATTTTTTCAAGTAATCATATAAATAACAATAGGCAACATTAATCACAAATTAAAGCATGGTTATCTAGTAGCTTTTTTAATAAATTATTTTACAATTTCTCTTCTACCACAATCTTCACTAACAACACAATCTACACATAATATATTATTTATAAATATTAGTTTCAATTATTGAAACTAATAAAATAACTCTAATAATAGAATTAGTTAATATAACATAATTCCTAGGGAAAATTTTAGTCAGGGACCCTTGATCAAACTTAATCAAAAATAGGACCCCAGAATTTCTAAAACTTTACTTAAGGACCTATACAAAATTTCTCCTAAATTTGTGATGTAAATGACAAAATTGGCCTCATTTAAATAAACAATATAAATGACTTGTTTGTTCCTATAATGTATGTTGTTCATTTACTTACGGAATATTGTTCGTTTCCTTACTTCACTTGTTTATAAGTCTAGTTTCACTTGATTTCATTCCGTATTGGTTTCATGATAAGATGATTTGTTCGTTTACATACTGTATGTTATTCATTTATTTATTAAATGTTGTTTATTTTCCTATTTCACTTGTTTATGGCCCTTAAAATGAAATTAAGTGAAAGTAGGCCTATAGACAAATGAAGTAAGGAAACAAATAACATTTTGTAAGTAAATGAACAACATATAGTATGGGAACGAACAAATTGTTTATGTTGTTTATTTAAATGAGGAGAATTTTGTCATTTCCATCAGAAATTCCGTACGAGTCCTTTAGTGAAGTTTTAGAAAATTTGAGGTTCTCTATTTTATTAAGTTTGGTCAAGGGTACCTGACTAAAATTTTTTCTAATTCCTAATCTTATTATTTATACAAATCTAGAATTAGTACCATCAAGTAAAATTTCTAACTCCTTTTTTAGTCACCAATAAATACTAATAAGCTAAAATCAACCTTTAAACTAATTTTTATTATCAAAATTTTTATTTTTATTTCATAAATTCGCACCTAAAAATATCCAAAAATTGCAAATTTAGTCTCAAACCTAGAATCATTATTCTATAGCCATAATAATCTATTTCTCATTCAAAATAATTATCTAAACATCAATAAATTAACATATATTTTCAAATTTAACAAAAATCTACATAGGGGTCTAAGGTTTAACTCATAAGTTTCAAATTCAAATCCCATTAACAAATTTATACTCTAGAACTCTTATTATACTACTAACAATCTCAACAATCATATCTATTCATCACAAATTCGTCCTCTTTTCAAATTCTAAATTTTTCATTATCACCAAATTAAAAACTAAAGAGAATGAATGACTAAGAAAATTTTTTAAAATACTTATTTAATCTTAAAAGGCTTAAACCTCACTTAAAATATCCTATTATGCGGCTTTATCATAAAAATTTCTCATGAACTCCGCTCTTGTCATGGGCTGGTGCTGTGCTAGCGAAGAAGACGACAGAGACGGAAATGGAAAATGGGAAACGGGATAAGGGCATTCATTTTGAAGAAAAGGGGTGGGGTGCATAATATAAAACTTACCCCCATTCATCATCATTACTATTATTATTTTAATTTCCTACTCTCTCACCTCACAACTCCCGTCTCTTCTTTTCTCTCTTTTTTTATATGTCATCACACACACACCCCTAAACGGATATGTATCTGTCTCTCCCCAACCTCCTTGTCTTCCTTTTTTTTTTTACTTTTATTTCTTTATCACTCAATCTCTCTATTTCTTTTATTTTTTTCTTCTTTCCTGATGATGATGATGATGATGAATATTAACTTAGAATTATATCCTAAATTAAATCTAATAATCATCTCCTATTAATTTACTTACATTTAAATATTTTCAAAATTTTTATTAACTCAAATTAACTATTAAAATTTAAATTGGAATGTTATAATATGTTCCACAATATTTGGTCCCAATATACTCCTATTGCTCAACTTAACCCAGCATAGAGGTGATCTATACTTTTACCCGTACCATGCCTCATATGGTGCCATTTGGATATTGGAGTGATAGATATTATTGTAGGCAAATTCAACCAATAACAAATGACTATCCCAGTTGCTTCTCAACTTCAGTGCATAGGCTTGCAACATATTTTCTAGAGTTTGTATAGTTCACTTAGTTTGACTGTTTGTCTGAGGATGGTATGCCGTATTAGGCTTTAATGCAATACCCGTCACTTTGACCATGTAGTCTTACAACCTTTCTAATATAAATCTTATTCACTCAAGGTAAAGTAGCTTCCTTCATATATAAGATTCATTAACGGCATGTTTAGTAACTTGCATTGTATCTTCTTTCATAATGTTTTTCCCACTTGCTTTTCTTTAATTCAAAATATAAATTTTGAATCTTCCTTTCTCCTTTAATGACAAGTGGTATATTCACATATTAACTGTAGGGTCTAATTTGATTTCTTGACACACTTTTCAAGTGTTCGGTTTTTCTTTTTTCCTTATGAATTATGTTTATTGGAGGTATGTTTTTACATGTACTTCTATAAATTTTGGTCCGAACATAATTACTTAACACTTTGGATTGTAAAATGGGTATTAATTCTCTTTTTTTCATTCCTTATTAACTAGATTTTAGAACCATGCCATGTAAGGGAAATTTAATCCTCTATTTAGTTTAAAAGGAATGAAAAGCAATTGAATAATATTCTAATCAATTACATTTTTTTTAAAATAAACAATTTGAACTATAAAAGTTCAATAGAGAGAAGATGCAAAATGAAAGAAAAATATAAGTTTCTTGTCTCGCCAGCACTACTAACTTTATTAATCTTAGGGTGTACTAAAAGCTTCTTATAAAGCCTGCATTCACCTATAACTTGCTTTATAATATAAAATACTATATTTAGGAATTTTATATCTTAATCTACTTGAAATGTAAGTGTTATAGTCTGGACCTTTAACATTACAAGCAATTAATGCATTCTAACTTTATAATTACAATTAAAAAACTTACAACTCAACTTTAAATTTTTTACATTACAAAATTCTTATGATACATGCTTACATAGAAAATTTAGAATTCCTTGGATTTAAAATGTAATAATATCTTTTTGAAGATCCTTAGTGACATTCTCAGATAAAAGAAATTAGAGGATGATAATTAAAAATCTCATAAAAATTATCAATATCAAGTCACAATCTTCTAAAAATTTTCAGTGTTAAAATATAAAAAATAAAATAGTACTGAGTTTAAAACTAAAGCAGCAATGAGACGCTGATTTAATAATAATAATAATAATATTATTATTATTATTATTTTACAAGTTCTTAGTTAGGATTCTCGCAGGCGAAAACGCCCGGTTGCTTTAATTAATTAAAAAAATATGAAGAAAGAAAGTGCTCCCTGTGAAAAACATATAGGTTTTGGGGTTTGGCTCCATGATTGAAAGCGTTTCAAGTAACTTCGGTGAACTTCACAACTGAAACGATGGGATCAGAGAATAGGCAGACCTGTAACCCTGATGCTGCCACCAAAGGCCACAAGAGAAAGCGTTATCTTCCTCACAATGTCCCTGTTCTGTTCTTCTTATGGTTGGCATCCCATGATTTCCCTTATTCTAGTGTGTAAAATTGAACCTATTATTGCTGTTTCAGAAACCGGTGAAGAAGAAAGGTTCACATCCATTGCGCCCTGGCGTACAAGGTTTTTTCATCACTTGCGATGGCGGTAGGGAACATCAAGCCTCCAGGGAAGCTCTCAGTATTATTGAATCGGTACTATTTACTTTCTTGTTAACGATCATTATGATTCCTCTATACATGCTAATAAAGTGGAAACTTGTTTAGTGAGTTTGGTCACCAAGCCCCGACTTGCTTACCTATATTTAGTTTCATTTAAACTGACGTATTCTGTTCTCATATTTCTCAGTTAGCTCACTAGGCATATCATCATTGCTGCGAAAGGGTGAACACTTAACATTAGAATTTAACACGTGTTTTTGAGAAAATCATAAGCGGATGGGTAATTTTCCTCAATGTTTTGCTATCTGTCTTCCAATACTTTACATTGTTATATATCTTTACGCGAGTTAATCTATTTTCAGATAATCAGTTATTATTGTAGTCTTTTATAAAGCCAGGTTTGATTTGGGTATCATTTTTTGGATTTAATAAGTTATTATATATTGGATACGAATAAGTGTTCACAGATAATGCCTGTCCATAGCTCAATAGGTTCCATTAAACTAGTTCCAATTCCTTCGTTCAATGTTCCTCTTTGATCATATGAAAAAATGTTGCTCTGTGATAGCAACAACAATGATACACATGACAAGCAGGGGAGTGAAGAGAGCAGTGCTGTGGGTGTCTCCAGCAACACTGCAGGTTGTTTAAGACAATAAATTCACTGGTTTTGGCCAGAAAAGGGAGTATGAAGTTCTTCTGCAATGTGCTATCTTGGTCAGTTAGTGCCTTTGTGGTTTCTCTAGTTAAAAGAAATACAAGAGTGTTTGAATGAGAAGTTACTATCAAGTGGGTGTGGCACGGATGGTAGCAGTTTGAACCCCTTAAGCATCATTTCATGGTTTTGTTTTTTTGGAGGTATGTACGGAGAGTATTGCTTGGGAGAGGATAACCCCTTAAATAGTGCTTAAATTTCTTGGTGGATTAGTCTCAACGAAGTTACTACCTATTTGTCATCCGTGAGAGAGAACTAGTTTCTTGGCCACTTCATTGGTTTCATTTGATTATTGTTTTTTGAGTGGCATCCTAGTGGATTCACAAAGTGATTGTAAAGTTCTTCTAAGCTAATGATTTCGTAATATTTTAAGTCTTTTGGTTGAGATGTCCTTGCTTGTTTGCACTTCTCTTCCCTTCTCTTCATTAATTAGTATTTCTAATTTGGTAGAATAATTTTGAGCTGTTCTATGCCTTTTGTTCTGAATTGTGGAAAATAGTTTTAAAAACTATGAACAAAAAACTATGGCACAAAAAGGAAAGTAAGTTTTTGTTTAAAAATAGGAAACTGCATTTGAAAACTAGAATCTAAGCCTCCCCTACTTTTTTCTTTTTTTTTTCTGGAGTTCCCTCTATAGGCAGTAGAGAAATTGACGCACCATGGGATAGAAAATTAGCATTTATAGAAAGTGAAAGAGTAAATTTATCCACTGGCAGCAAATTACAAGTGAGCAGAGCGCATTTGTTAGCACAATATCATCAGAGAGAACAACAGTGCTGAGGCTGAGTGCTGAGGCTAACAATATCACACAAGAATCATCAGCTATTCTAACAACCCACTTCTCTTGACAAGGATGAAGTTCTTTGAAGAGAGTGATGTCACCGCTCATATGATCAGTGGCTCTTGAGTCTACAATCCACTTTTTAGAATGCTGTGTAATGGAGGAGCAAGCAACAGAGATGTTACTTGATTTGGTTGATACCAAACCTATGGCAGTACTTATGGGAGGGTGGCTCCTTATCAAATTGACTAAGGAGTTGTTGAAAATGAGCAACCTGGTCCTTTAGTTGAGAAAAATCAAGGGAAGTCATTACTAGATGCCACATACCCTTTACTTTCTCGCTTACCCTTTGATTCGTTGTGGGGAGGGTGACCATGAAGCTTCCAACAATGGTCCTTCGTATTGTTGCAGTGATCACAGTGGGGATGGCCACTTTTCTTCTCATGATCAGTCCCATGAGCCACCATAGCTGTGGATTCACTAGGGAATGGAGGAATTGAGGCTTCAATGACTTGTTTCCAGCTCTCTTCTTAATGAACAGCTGAGAAGGTTGCATGGAGGGAATTGGTGAGAGGCTCAAAATTTGACTATGTACCTCTTCAAACTAAGAATTCAATTTGAGTAAAACTTTATGAACTCATTTTGTCTTGATTAGTTTCTGATGAGAGATGGCATTGGCAGCACAAGCCCATACATGGACCTTATGAAGGTCAAGTTGCTGCCATAGTTGAATCAAGAGTTGTAACATAGGGTCAAAGTCATGGTGCCGTGTTTCAACTCATGAAGATGTCCCTTAATCTCAAATAAAACAGCAACATTAGATGCAGAGGAGTAGAGTTCACCAGTAGCTTCCCAAATGTCTCAAGCAGTTTTGTAGAGCATGAAATTCTTACCAGTTTGAACTCTCAAGAGTCATCGAGTTCACCAAACTAGACATGACTTGATTATTTTTAACACGCCTAGTAGCAAATTTAGGATTAGTGGACGCTGGTGGAGAAGCATGACCATTGATGTGGTCTTCCTTGCCTCGTCCGCGGATGAGCATAAGAAAGGATTGGGACCATTGAAGATAATTATCACCATCAAGTTTGTGATTAGTGTTAAGAGAAGAGAGGTTGCCTAGAACAGAGGGGTGCATTGAACTAGAGGAGGGGGGTTATGTGTTGGAGGCGCTTGTGTTAGGCCCATTCTTGGTGTTGAACGCTTCATATTGGCTGAATTTGAGATGAGGATTGCTCATGGCTCTGGTACCATGGAAGCAGTAGAGAAATTGATGCTCTGCTTGAATTCTTTATTGATGAATAATGGTGCATACATATAGCCAAGAAAGGCTGGGGTTTCATACAATCAAATCAAATAATATAGAATAAAAACTAATCAGATTATAATCTGATTTTATTGTATAATATCCTCTAATAATAATAACAGAAAATAAATTGATTTAAAACCTAATTAGATATTAAGTTAGACCCATAGTGGTAATGGGCCCAAGCTAACAGTACCAACTTCCAATACCCTCCTTTACTTGAAACAAGGAGTTTGTTTTTCAATCATGCTATATTTGTTTCATGACTATTAGAGTTATTATAATTTGCAATGAATGCCAATATTTCTTTGAGATTTGTTATGTATACATTAACAGTCTTAGATCTGTGGGTGGAGAATTTGATGGAAACTTGGTAATATGGGATGCCAAGTCCCACATTGAGTAGTATGTGATGCTCAATGGGATATTTAAGTGAGTTAGTTCTCTCACCTCAACAGCTAGCTTTTAGAGTAGGGTTCCCTATCCCACTTCAGTATCCATCACTTGGTATTAGAGGGTCCAAAGAGGGCTTCCTAACGAAGGGTTTTGATTGGCTGGAGGCCGAATCAGGTGCCAATTGATGGAGACTTGATGGTATGAGATATCAAGCCCCATATTGAGTAGTATAATATGCTCATTGGGGGTATTTGAGCTAGTTGATTCTCTCATCTAATTAGCTAGATTTTGGGGGAGGGTTCTCCATCCCACTTAGGTATTGGTCAATATTAAAGTCTAAACATTTTCTCAATTTGCCAATGTTTTTTCTTTTATCCATGTTCTATTTTAGTGATATGATACATCATGTGTCTTGCAGTTTTATGAAGAGCTATTTCATGGTGAAGATTCAAATGTTAAACAGTTACCCGATAAACCTTTGAATACCAAAATCACATTTTCAGATTCTGACTCTTCTAGTAGCGATGATGATGATGCTCATGAGGGGGAGGAGGAGGCTCAAGGGGAAGAGGAAAAGGGAAAGAAGGATAATTCCGATATTTCTAATTCTAATGATGATAATGCTAATCATGGGAATGAAACCTTTGAAGAATCAGATTCTCATAAAATTGTTGATGGGCAAGCGCAGGAAGAGGAAAATGCTGATGAACCACAAGCAAAGAAACAATGCTGCAAAATAGATGGGCCAGCATGTGATTCTGATAGTAAAGGGCAAGAGAAGTCTATTGACAGGTTGATTGAAGCTGAACTCAAAGTACTGGCAGACAAGAATAAGGTTAGTTGATAAGATTTTTTTTAATGGAACCTTTCTTTGATGCTACTGCAAAAATAAAATCTCAGTTTTTTTGTTGTTCTTAATTTTATCTGTTCATATAGCTCTTCTTATTGTTCCCTACACACAGCACATTCTAGCACACATTCATGTTCAATTAACTAATGCTTAGATGATTAGTGTCACAAGAAGGTAATTCCTGAGTTTTGTCAGGTACTGCATTTTGAGACGGCAAAATATTGGTTGATGTTGGTGTTATTAGTTTGTCCAATAATATGGCATGTGTCTGACAAAAAGTGTAATTTTGCCCATCACATTTTAGTTGAGTTTTGGTGTCTTGGTTGCTTATCATGTGAGCACCATGGTTCATTTTGTTTTATTTAACTAAACATACTAGTCACTCTAACTTGAGGCATTGTTTGTTTAGCTGGGGTCATCTTGCATGATAGGGAATGCCATGTGTAGTGTTGCTATATGGCAATCTAAATGACTATATTGGTTACAATTGACACTTTGTAGTGGTAGGGTTGAGTGTCATGTTTTTTTCTTCCTCTTTTGTTTGATCAAATCTTTTTTCCCCCTTCCTTTGGAGCAAGACAATATGCTTACTTCACCAGTCATTGGGCACTCTCTCTCTGTGGTTAATTGCTTGTTTACTTCTGCTTTTTCATTTGTATATTTGTGAGTGCATGTTGCTGGGTCTGTTTTTGCAGAGGTGTTTCGTCAAGTTAGACTCAGGCTGTAACGGAGTTGTATTTGTTCAAATGCGAATGAAATATGTAGGCCCAGGCCCCAAAGACATAGTACAGCACATGGTGACATCTGCTGCATCGACCAAAAAACATATGTCAAGGTGTGTGCGCTCACGTGTGTGTGTGTGTGTGGAAAAAGTATTAATGTATTGTTTTCTGTCATACACATGTACTTGTAGGTTCATCTTGAGAATTTTGCCAATTGAACTAGCTTGCTATGCTTCAGAAGAGGAAATCTCAAAAGCAATCAAGCCTCTAGTAGAATGTTATTTTCCTTTGGAAACTCAAAACCCACAGAAGGTAATAATGTACATGAGTGTTTCCTGTTCTGTATTTGCATTTTCTTATCTACATGCTTGAGAAATATTATAATTCTGCTCTCAATAATATGTTCAAATTAGCACCCCTGGATGTACATGCTCAATTTTATTCATGCTCCTTTCTCTTTCCTCACCAACCACAATATGAGACTTGATTTGAAAGCATTCAAAGTATGAATACCTTGAGAACTAGCTTCTCCGTCACTCAAAATCTTCTCAATTTCTTCCTCTTTTAATTTGTCTCTAAATATATCAAAGGCCCCAAATATGTCAGATTGGGTAGTATTATTGCAATTTTCTTACTATGATGTGAGTATTGATATTTATAGGAATAAAGAAATCAGATTCTACCAAAAAGTGAAGAAATTGGCTGAGCAATTGAGTTCTCTACCTCAAATTGTATTCATATTAGTCATAGGTTACATATAGGGAGAAAACTAGGGTTTGTTACAATCCAATCAGAGAGTACAGAAAATTAAAACTATGATAGAATCAGATCTGATCCTAATCTGAAATCAGAATAAAATAGAAAGATACAAATAACTGTTATTAAATTAAATTAGAGGTCCTACATAGCCCCTCAAGCTAGAGAATAGATGTTCATCATTTCCAACTTGCTTCTTAAGCCTTCAAATTTAGGTTTTGATATGGGCTTGGTTAGCACATCTGCAACTTGTAGGAATGTATGCAACATCAACAACTTTTCCTTCTACTTTTTCTTTGATAAAATGCCAATTGATCTCAACATGTTTTGTTGTATCCTGATGCATAGGGTTCTTTATAATCTTAACAGTTGCTGTGTTATCACTAAAAACTTTTATTGGACCCCTATGAGCTATTTTTAACTCATTAGAGTCTATCAAGGAATATGCCTTCACATATCCCATAGGCTAGTGCTCTAAGCTTTGGCTGCATTATAGGTTAGTTATTGACAGTATAGGACCTTACCTTTTGGGACACTGTTAGAGCTCTGCTCTAAAGTAACTAATAGAACCAAGCTTTCAATGCAAAGAGAAATAAATGAGGGAAATTCTGAGGTTTTTGATATTAATGCATATGAACCGAATCAGTGTTACAAGAGAAACTCACTGATTCTAGCCAAAACCCTATTCCCAACAACTGAAATTATAAATTAAATGGAAGAACACAGCAACAAGAAAAGGTCTCTCACTGGTGTTCGAGAGACCAGCACTCTCCTCACTTCTGTCTAACTTCTCTAAAACATCCTTGAGTGCCAACAAAAATAATACAGCCAAATAAAGCAAGCAAAAAGGTGACTTCAATATCGAGACTAAATCTAAGCCACCCTACCAAAACATCATGGCATAATCCTTCTTTTCTGGACCCTCAGGATATTAATCCTAACCCAATGGGTATTTCCTTTCTACACCCAACTGCCCCCTTGATCTCCTCTTATAAGTCTGACCATATCTCACGGTCACATCATTTCCCGCCTCTAAGAGTCTCACCTTGTCCTCAAGGGGAAAATCTGGAAATTGGAGAGAAATGGTGTCAGCTGTCTCCCATGAATTCTCAAACTCGGGTAAATCTCTCCGTTTCACTAAAACCTCCAGCTGGCCTGTCATAAGTTTCCGAACCTTGCATATGTCTTGAGGCTGTACCTGTAGCTCCAATTCTGCAGAAAGTGCTGGTGGTATAGTAGGAGTGACAATAGCTGAACAAACTGATTTTTTGAGTTGAGAAATGTGAAAGACTGGGTGAATGCGAGCTGTGGAAGGAAGTTCCAGCTTGTATGCGACCTGTCCAATCTGCTTTATGATCTTGAAGGGGCCATAAAAACGAGGGCTGAGTTTCTCATTAAGTCTTTTAGCTAAAGATTTCAGCTTGTAGGGTCTGATTTTGACATAGACTAAATCTCCAATGTCCAGCTGTATCTCTCGCCTACGTTTGTCACCTTGCTTCTTCATTCTTTCTTGCGCCACAGTGAGGTTTTCCTTTAAAATGGCAATAATGGAATTCCGGGACTGAATCTGTTCATTGACAGCTTCAATGCCTGACGGTTCCCCATTCAGCTTAAAAAAAGTAGGAGGGTCCCGTCCGTACACTGCCTTAAAGGGTGTCATTCCAGCAGCCCCATGATGAGTTGTGTTGTACCAATACTCAGCCCAAGGTAACCATTGCGCCCATTGGGTTGGTTTCTCACTGGTGAAACAACGCAGATAAGTTTCTAAGCTCCTGTTCAAGACTTCGGTTTGGCCATCAGATTCCGGGTGGTAAGCAGAGCTAAGACAAAGCTGAGTGCCTGCTTAAATAATTCCTTCCAAAACTGACTTACAAACACCCTATCCCTATTTGACACAATTGTTTTTGGAAACCCATGCAATTTAACAATGTCATTAATGAATCTTTCAGCAACTTCTTTTGCTGTAAATGGGTGGGTCAAAGCCAAGAAATGGGCATATTTTGTCAACCTATCAACAACAACAAGTATGATGTCATGTCTTTTGGATTTTGGAAGTCCTGTAATGAAATCCATGCTAATATCTTTCCAAATTTATTGAGGAATCGGCAAGGGTTGTAACAGCCCAGCTGGAGTTAATGCTTGATATTTGTTCTTTTGGCACACGTTGCACTGTGACACATATTGTTGGATATCTTTTTTCATGCCTTCCCAATATACAACAGTAGAAAGCCTCTTGTAAGTGCGCAAATAACCCGAATGGCCTCCGGTTGGTGAATCATGAAATTCCTTCATGAGCAATTGAATTCTGGTAGACTTCTTTGGTAGCATCAATCGTCCTTTATAGTGTAGACAACCCTTCACAAGGCTGTATCCCTCCAAATTTCCTTGCTTGGTAATGACTTTTTGCAGTATATCATTTAACTTAGGGTCAGCATGTACTTCTTTCTCCCATTCTTCAAGGTCACCTTGCTGCCATAAAGAAAAACCATGTATCTCCAGATTTTCTTCTTTCCTTGAAAGTGCATCCGCTGCACGATTTTCCTTGCCCGGTTTGTAAGCTATTTCAAACTTGAACCCCATTAATTTAGTGATCCAGTGCTGTTGACTTTCTTCTACAATTCTCTGTTCCAGCAGAAACTTCAAAGCTTTCTGATCTGTCTGGATGACAAATTTCTCCCCCCATAAGTAGTGTCGCCATTTCTTGACCGCCATAACAATTGCCATAAGTTCCCTCTCATAAATGGAACATTGTTGAGCGCGGTTAGAGAGCTTTTGGCTGAAATATGCCACTGGATGGCCATTCTGCATCAGCACTGCTCCTATTCCAGACCCGGAAGCGTCTGTTTCCAACTCAAACGGGATGGAAAAATCAGGCATAGCTAGTACTGGGAGAGAAGTCATGGCTGTCTTGAGACTTTGGAAGGCTTCTTCAGCTTTTGGGGTCCATTTAAAGGCATCTTTCTTAAGTAAATCGGTGAGAGGACTAGCGATTTTTCCATAATTCTTGACAAATCTTCTATAATACCCTGTCAACCCTAGGAACCCTCTTAAGGATTTCACATTCTTGGGTTTAGGCCACTGCACCATACTCTCAATTTTGCTGGGATCCGCTTGCACTCCCTCCTTGGAAATGATATGCCCAAGATATTCAATTTTTGGTTGGGCGAAAGTGCACTTCTTAAGGTTGATCACTAGCTGGTTCTCTTTCAGGAAAGACAAAACAGCTTTCAAATGTTTCAAGTGAGATGTTAAATCATGGCTATAAATAAGTATGTCATCAAAAAATACAAGCACAAATTTTCGAAGATGCTCTCGGAATATCTCATTCATTAAAGATTGGAATGTGGAAGGAGCATTGGTTAAACCAAAGGGCATTACCTTGAATTCATAATGTCCCTCGTGGGTTCTAAATGCTTTGACGGAACAAAGGATTTTCCTATAAAGATTGGACTACATCAGGGATCATCTCTGAGTCCTTATTTGTTCAACTTGATTTTAAATGTTTTGACGGAACATATTCAAGAGGAAATCCCGAAATGTATGCTCTTCGCGGATGATATAGTTCTTATAGCAGAGACAAGAGAAGAGGTTAATTGCAAACTTGAGTTATGGAGGAGGACATTGGAGTCGAAAGGTTTTCGTCTGAGTAGAAGTAAGACGGAATATTTATATTGTAAATTTGGTAAAAGACTATTCGAAAATAATTTGGAAGTGAAATTGGGAGATCAAATCATACCTCAAGTGGAAAAGTTTAGATATTTGGGAGCCATTATTCAAAATGATGGCGAAATCAGTGGAGATATTTCACATAGAATTCAAGCTGGGTGGTTTAATTGGAGAAAAGCTAAAGGAGTTATTTGTGACCGTAAGGTGCCTAATAAACTTAAAGGAAAGTTTTATCGTACTGCTATCAGACCGGCAATGTTATATAGTAGTGAATGCTGGGCTCTAACGGGACAGCAAGAGCATAAAGTTGGAGTAGCAGAGATGAGAATGTTACGATGGATGTGCGGACATACACGTAAAGATAAAATTTGAAATGAGCACATACGTGAAAAAGTGAGGGTGGCACCTATTGAGGAAAAAATGGTAGAAAATCGGTTGAGATGGTTTGGGCATGTACAAAGAAGACCAAGGGAGGCACCAGTGAGAAGAGTGGAACATATAACTTTGAGTCCGATTAAGAGAGGTAGAGGAAGGCCTAAGAGAACACTCTTGGAAGTTGTTGAACGTGATCTCTTAATTAATAATATTTCTAAAAGCTTAATAAATGATAGAGCACAATGGCGTCTTGCAATCCATGTAGCCGACCCCACCTAGTGGGATAAAGGCTTGTTGTTGTTGTTGTTGTTGTGGGTTCTAAATGCTGTTTTATGTTCATCTCCAGCCATGATTCTGATCTGATGGTATCCGGACTTCAAATCCAGCTTGGTGAAGATGGCGGCTCCTTTTAACTCATCCAACAACTCATCTCTAGCCGGTATGGGAAACTTGTCAGGCACCGTGATTTTGTTCAAGGCTCTATGGTCCATACAGAATCTCCAGCTTCCATCTTT